TTACATTATTTGATCATTTTTTCCAGTGTGCTTGGTTGGCAGGTTTTTTTTTTGTTGTTGTTGTTGTTTTGGTTTTTTTTGCAAGCATAGGAAATTATACACAAAATTGACAGTTAAAGAAGCCAAGGTCATAAAATCAAGAACTCAAAGGTTAGGAAATGGTATTACTAGAGTTGCTTGCACCCTATTCTTTAATCCACTTTATATGCAAACAATTCAGTTACCAGCTCAGGGTACAATTTTTGATAGGGCCCAAAGCCTCAACCACCCCAATGACGGTTATGTTTATTATAAGAACAAGTCAGGGCACTATAAAGTAGAAAAATTGATTTTTACAGGAAATAAACTTTGTCAAAGTTGAACGAATAAGGCAGCAAACAGCAAGAAGAGTAAAGCAGTCCTGGCTGAAGCAGCTGAACTCTGCACTGGAGAATGAGATTTTCAGCTCTGTGTCTGCCTTTAACTGCTTGGGAGCTCCTGAGGAAAGCATCAAACCCAAACTTTCCACCAGCAGTTCCTGATTTCTTGCACCTCTCCTCCATGCCCAGCAATGGAGGCTGGCTACGTAAGATGTCAAGGCATTAAAAATTTGGAGTTTGCACTGAACTCGGTGGTCATTTGACCTTAAATGTAGACAATGTACTGTTACTTTAAGTCATCTCACAGTCCCAGATCAACCCCAAACCAGTGGCTGTGCTGGACCTGGACCTCCCTGAGCCTTAGTTCTTCACCTGTGAACTGCAACAAGACTATTCTCTCTCTTTGCAGGGGAGCTGTGAAAATGTCATGCAGATCCACAAACTTGTAAGCATATATAGGCGAGCAGAGGTCAGGGGAGGACTTGGATATTACAGGAGTAAGCGCCATAGGAAAGCCCAGCAGTAATTATTAATTCCATTTTCAAGCATGGTTTGAATACAGCTCAACAAACGAAGCACTGAAGAATGAGGGTACGATAAAATATTGACTAGCTGCTCCATCATTGTCTAGTCTGTGTCCTAGATAGCAGAAGGATATTTTGGAAAAAGCAGAGCGGAAACACCTAATAAAAGACTGGAGCTTTAAGAATTTGAATTTTCAGACTTAATCTTTTATTTTTTACAATCATTTTAATGAAGTTGTACCCACCTCTGCATAGACAGATAGTCACATACAGACATGCAGATACAGAGAGTTTATATAGGCACATTATTCTACAAATATACATTTATCTATGTGTACCTAGATTTTCATAAACCATAACCAAGCATCTGACACCTAATGCAGCCTTTGATGAGAATTGCTCTCTCTCCTCCATAGAGTACCACCAGTAATTATTTACCATTAGTTCTTAATGGGAAGAGATTCAGCTGGGATGTAGTAAACAAGAGAACTGTATAGATTGTTCATTATGGCCTGGATGGCTCTCAACTGAGGTTAGGAAGAGATTGGATCACACCTCCTGGATATTTCAATCACAGTTTTTATCACCAGGGAAAAGCACCTTATTAACTTGGACTTGGTCAGGTCCTTCCATGTCCATACATGCAACACTGTCAAGATCATACAAGTGCCCCTTCTAGTTGATGTTACGATGCTTCAAACGCTTCAAACCCTAAACTGCTGCGGGGTTAAACAACTAATGAAATGGAGATCTGAAGGCTTCATTTAGACTAATGACATCTTGAACTCTGCTACCTTCCTACCTGCCATCGAATTTTTTTTTTTTTTTTCTTTTTTGCAACAGGGTAAGGGCTTCCTCCTCCCACAACACCAACATCCAGTTGTGGCAAAAAGATGGTCCTAAAAGGCAACACTGGTCATTTCGCAAGTGAAATCATCGTGTGTGAAAAAAAGAGGGAAAAATCCTCCACATGGATTATTTCATTGCTTTAAATAAAAAACAAAACAACCCAAGGAAAAGAGTCAAGTTAAAACTGTGGTATTTTTAAAGACATGTGCCCTACCACTGATACATTTTCTGGAACGTCTCACATCATCAGCCCATTCCTGTGACTCCTCCACCATCAATAGGAGTTGTGTGCATCAACCCAGAGAGCCTGAACACCGGGCCGACCATATGTGAAAAGCACCATTTTTTTCGTTATGGCAGAGAACTGAAATATGCAACTAGCACATACTGTAAAGGCATTCAAAATACGACAAAAAAAATTGTTCAAATGCTTTCAATCTGCAGAAAACAAATGCTCTCTTCACTGACTGCTCTGTGGCAAACTCCTAATTCCATCCAGAAAATCCAGCATTCCCAGTCTGGGCTAACGACCATGCTACCAGACATGAGTTTATGTTTTTCATGCACATTTCATGTATTCCCACATGCTGTGTTGCTGCCAATAATTTATGACTGATCTGCACCCAGCCTGCCCTTCAGCATTTTATTTAATCTCTGCAACAGTGATTTACAATGACTCATCATTAATACAAAAATGTACATGTGTGTTAACAAGTTTGGAAGAATCTAAGGAGGAAGGCAAAATTTTTTGCAAGTCGTGGCTGAATGACTTATGAGCCCATTGAAGAAAGGCAAAGCTAACCATAAACAATATGTTAGATCCTCCCTACAGCAAATAATTTAGGCAAGAAGAGCTTCTTCTCCTTCACACTGCCTATGGAAGGAAAGGGATTCAGGAGAACGTTGTGAGAGGGTTGCCCCGTAGCCCCCAGGATTTTGGGGGATGAGTCACTGGTTGGTCACCCCATATCTGGATGTTTCCTGAGGGTGCACATGTGTGTGTGCAACCTGCACGCTCAGCCACGGCCTCACAGCCTCCTTGTTCCTGAGCATCCATTACAAAAAGCAGGGGCTGAATGACCATATTCTGGCACCTCTGCCCACCGCCTGAGATTTAAGAAAGTCCCAACTGTCTCTATAGTGTTAAGTCTTCGTGGGGCTGGGGAATGAAGTGGAATTGTCTCAATAATTTATACAATTGTAACACCACAGCAGAATTACCAAACTAGCTCAAGCAGAGGAAGCCTGCCCTACATCCACAAGACTTCAGTTATAATGTATTTTGACCTACTTTTTTTTTTTTTTTTCCTTGCACATAAGGAACTTATAAAAACACATCTGACACAAATCCAAAGTAAAAACTCATCAAATCTGAGGCAAGATGGGTACTTAAAAACACGCTGGAAAGTCACGTGGGAGAAATTCCACCAGCTTTAGTTCCAAGCATCCCATGTTCATAATCTCAAAAATTTTCTGTGATGAACCATCCTAAACTGACATAGTTGCCCATGCCAAACCCTAAACTCCCGGATACCTCCAAAGCAGCCCACCCTTGCTCCACCCCATCTTTAGGTATGACCCCTGATGAACATACACAGCTTCTTAAATGGCCAAAGTGCCTATTGTTAAATTGAAGGACAACTATATAAATTAGGGTATCGTCTGGACGAAGGTTGGACGACATAAAGCTGAAGCAAACTCTAATTTTTCCTGTCTGAGCCAAAATACCGCAGGTTGCCTTTTCTTACAACATGCATTTTACATTTAGTGCCTTTTATTCCTACGTTTTAAAGTAAGTATCTTGGAAGCATACTTCACATACAGCAAGATTTTGGTATTTTTCTTTATTCAGTGTCTTAAAGGGCTTCAAAAAATTGATCTCCCAGGGCTGCTGTGGGGTCACAGAAATTGATAACCCTTACAAGCTATGCTTATGTGAGCCCGCCTGCGTCTCCCAGATAGTGCACTTTGTAAATTAATCCTCCAAAGGCAAATATATTGTAAGTAGCTTGTTATCTCTAAAGTACTAAATTGAAGAATACATGGGATTATATTGACAGAAATTACATTTTCTGTAATGGGGTTTAATATATCTGAAATCTCTCCCATAGGCTTCTACTCTCTAAAGAGAGGAGGGTTTGTTAATGTAGGTGCAATGGACATCAAGACCAAATTTATTCACTAAAATGGATTAGGCCATGTAATCAGAGCTTCAGTAATATTAATCTCTGACACTTATTGAACAAAAAAAAAAATACTTTTGTCTGCAAACTGGCATTCCTCCCTCCCTTTTCCCCAGCAGGCTTGCAGTTTGCCTTGGCCATTTTCTGGGTATTACTTCAAAGAGGATAAGGTTTCCCATCATAAACACTAATCTAAAAATATTAGGACAATTAATTAGATACACTTAGTTTTACAAGATATTAGATTGCAATACACTTCAAATATGACACTTTTTCTGGGATAGTGGGAGAAACCTGCATTTCGATGCAATAACAAAGGGTAATAAATCAAATTTTTTTTTTTAAGGGTTCGCTGTTGTGTTTTTATACTTAAATCACAAGTAATTTTCACTGGTTGCCTTCACCACATACCAGACAGTTAGCACCCCAAAATCCACTGCAGAAACAGCACGGATCCTGATTTCCTTCAGACAAATCCCTACTACGATAGACCAGGGTCTCCAGCAAGCCTTAGCTGGAATAAATAAATTGCTCCACACCATACTTCAGCAGCAAGGAGCCAGATTGTTCTCAAAGTTTATTCAAGCTTTCAAAAACTGAACTTTCGAAACAAACCGTTAGAGAGACAGAAGGATCTCAGTCAAAAAGAAAAACCCCACTAAAAACATTAAAAAAGGATGACAGCAGCCCAAAATAACAACACGCTCTGCAGAAACGGGGCCAATTGACCCTTTTTTTCACCCATCATCTCAACCTCTTCCAAGACCAAAGTTCTCAAAATGGATGTGGCTTTCCATTGAAGAAGACACAACCTCAGCCACAAGCAGGACTGGTACCCAAATGCAAATACACTGAAATCTGCCTGCTGAGAAAAGCGAGGGGGAAATAAATACCTCTTGTTTCCTGCAATAGCAAACCTCCTAGTTCCCATAACTGAAACCACTCACCAAGCTTTATCGCTTTGGCATCAATAAACTGCTGGGGATGGGGGGGAGCAGACAAGGGCAAGGTGTGTCCTCAAAAATGCAAAGCGTTAGCTGGAGGGTGCCAGCAGCCTTATAGAAACACCAAGGAAAATTACTTACCAATTGTTCACTTGAAGTATAGTGAGCCCTGTGTCTTGTGCCAACTGCTTTTTCTGTTCTTCTGAAGGGTAAGGGTGCTATAAGACACCAAAATAAATATATACATTTAAAACAATGTGCTTTTTTGCCTACTTTTTATTTTAAATTAAAAAAAAAAGAAACAAACCAAAAACAAAATCCAGAAGTGTGACATCTATTACTGAAAGGTGAAAATGCTGAGGTGTGTCACTCTTTTATAATTATTAATGGGCTACTACATCACTTAATTAATAGCAGTAAAACACAAGCCAATTATAAAGATTAGTGAAGTGGAGAAATAACTGCTTCGGATACTGGCAGTACCTTGATACTCAAGAAGGATATTTGTTGCATTAGCTGGAAGTTTTTGCACTTGTCTCAAATGACCGATTAGAGTCAAATCACTGATTTTTTTTCCATGTATTTCACAGAACAGTGAAGAATGTGATAAAGCACTTCTCTGTAAAACTAAAACACACTGATGTTTTCTGAGGTAGTGAAAGGCAAATCTTGCCAGTGCCCCCAAATAATTTGCAAATAAGATCAGCATCCTGAACATAAACAAACGCCTGGGTTTTGAACACAGGCCAACACAAGGTCAATGATCAGCACATTTTTGCCTGACATTAACATGGCTGTGCTGCACTAATCCTAAGAGACAGAAAATAAATACTGATTTAATTGAAGATAATGTTAAAATTCAATCATAAGTTAAGTTTCTTGTGAGAACTTGATTGCTTTCTCAGAAAATTTGCTTCTGCGTGAATGCAGATTGCTTAATAAATTAACAGCAAAAACCACATCCAAGTCTGAAATTTAGAAATGACATTAGCAATATAATTTCTGTCTTTTCCCTCCATGTAAAAATATCACTGTCCCAAAAGCAAATGGCCAAATATTGCAAATGTAACAATTCCCATGAAAAACCCTGTTCTGAGGAACTGGCTCAGCTCCTGACCTGGACACCCAACTCTCAGTACACATCGGATTCAGACCTTGTCTGCTGTAAGGTACTTAATAACATTTCCATAAGATAATTTGTTATAACTGGTTATCCCAACATCCCATCTAGCAGTTGGTTTTCGCAAAGTATTTGCTCTTACACATCCCCCCCCCCTTTTTTTTCCCCCACAAAACATTCCCATATTCTTTGGATATATTCTTCAGTGTAATATTACATGAGACGTACACTGAAACCTTGTAAAGTCTAAGAATTAAAAACCTCATAAAATCTTCCAATCTTATTGGTATTGTAACTATTTAACAGATTTTATATATTCTTGTAAACAGCATGATGGGACATCTAATGGCTATGTGCCTGCATCACCTCACTTTACCAAAGAGAGATCCTTGTTGTAACTCTGGTAACTTCCCCTTGCCCAGCATGCCCATTTGAAAGCCCATCACCATGGCTATCAGCTCCAAAAGATACACATTTTGCCCCCAAAAATGGGGAGAAACTTCCCATTCTTTTAAAAATACTGTTGCTTGACAGAAAGCCCACAGATAACCCGCACACCTGGAAACTACCCCCTGTATTTTCTGCATGTACATGAAACAGCTACAAAATTGCAAAGTGGAAGACACAGGGAAGGAGATTTAACTTCTTTTTTTTTTATGGGTAATTTGCATTTTACACATGCAAAAATATAGCATGAATTTTATTGTCTGCCTTATATAAATGTGTATCCACAACAAAGTCGTGCTTGACTTACGTCCATCTATCTGAACACAACATTTTGCTTTTTTTCAGAAAAAACACCCAAACCCTACAGAGCCGACTTGTAACATTTTCATCTTTATAGCTTACTTCCCATTTCATTACTTTGCTATCAAGCGAGGACAAAATTATTCTTTTTTTTCTTATTTCACTTTGCCACCTTACATGTGATCTAATTTTAAGTAATTGAACAAACTGTGTCTAATTTCATGCAGCAAGCAATAATTACTAGACAGCCTCTAGCTATTGGAATTGAGAACTCTGTCTTCATTAAGCAGTTTTCAATTGTTCTGGACTTTTTTCCAAATAGACAAGACTGGATAAAATTAGCCCATCAGAATAATACAGCCACTGTAAAAATAATTGCTTTAAAAGTCCCATACCCCAAATTCCTCAAATTGTGGTATGTTTAGGGTCATCTGATTTTAGTTTTTTTTCATAGCCTAGCACAGCATAAACTTTTAATTTCATGATAAATCTATAATTGCCATAATCACATGAGAGCCTGGGACTTCACATAGCTAATCCCTCTTAGCTAAGGGTTCACAACACGGCAGGCTTTTTAAACACGATTCGGTGTGGTTTAAAATAATCTTAAACACTGGGCATCCTTATTATATAAGCTTTCTGTGGATCGTACGCGTTGTTCCTTTGTAGGCTAAAAAAAAAAAAATAAAAATGACTTGACAAAGAATCAGCATGCCACAGGCTAGGTTGCTATAAAAACATTCAAAGCCTTGTTGCACTCCCACCCACAGGGCTAAGAAGGCCTGTGCTACAGGCAAAGGCAGACATCACATTGCAACAGAGAGAAAGGGGGAACCCCTGAGAACTGCCATTTTATGAAGAAATAGGAAATTCAGTCGAAACTGTTGCTGTTGGTCTTTATTTCATCCAAGCAACAACAACAAGTGCCTTCCAAAAGCTTTCTAATGGTCGTCTAAAGGGATAACTACACATGCAGAGAGATAGATTTCTGTATATTTGCATATATATATACTATATTTGCATGTATATGTATAAAATACATATAAATATACATAAAAACAGATATATATCTTAGCAAAAGGATTTAGTTTTAGGCAGTCCTGTGAGGAGCA